CATAGCTTAGGTGGAGACAAACAAACACTTAACACTATTTATGGCTTCGGTGATAAATTGACGAACCGTACCCAGCATTCATAGGGCGAGTTGCTGTTCTTGCAGTCTTGGTAGTGTTTATGTAAGTCTTAACGGATACGATATCATTATTGGTAATTATAATATTATAGTTACGCTGTGGGCATAACTATAAAAGCATGGTAAGTACATATACAGTTGATAGTGATACATGTATATCCATGGGAACCAAGTAAAGTGAAAGCACATACAGTAATCTTATTTAATTGGTTCACAAAATCGCTCACATAGTACATGCAATTAGGACATATATATTTGAGTTTTAAGGTTTAATTTTTAATTATTATCATGTTTATTATGTGTGATTGTCAGATACTCCCTCCTGTTTTATGTGTACGAAACGTATGTCTGTCAAAACCATTTATAAAACACCCCGTGTCTGTATATTAATTATTAACTAGTTGGGGTGAATATTTGTGACGATTTATTTAGATACATGTTTTTACAGTTCTCCACGACTCTTATCCAACTTTTTACCATGGTTTTTAGTTGTATGATTTTAAACACTGAGCATCTCATATACAATGTGTGATCACGAATACGTCACTTTTCCCAGCCGAAAGTGACCCACTTCAGATACAATACATAGGAATTCAATACGATCGCAATACGTACCGGTATACTGACGTTTAACTGCTGACACAATCAACTGTCCTCTAAGGTTACATCAGTAGTAGGTTCATGCATTAGCCAATCATATTGTAATGTTGCTGTTCATTATCGTAACATCTCTGTTGATTGATATTATTATGTAATAGCACACTGATTGATATATGAATATGTTATTGAAGTGGATTATTACAACGTCATGATATCATTCATTAGACCCTGACGCGTCCTCGGGGCCTCATAGTCATGTCTACATATATGGTCACAATTTGTTTTTAAAACTATAAGTGAAAATGATACATTCGCGAAATTGGAGCAATGATAACGAAATGGTGGTGTTTTGCTAGTTTAAAACTCAGAAAATACTCCAACTACTGACTCCAACTACTGTAACAGCTAAATGCATAAAATTAGAAACGCCAGTACCAAGTATCAGTTGAAGTATACGAAACTTGGAACACGTGCACTTCATCGAACGCTTAAACTTCTACATGAGAAGATTATTTATACTGACTTTTCGACAATACTGGGATTGTCTCCATCGGAAAAAAAAATAAAAATAATCTGTAGAATTACAATCTCGATGCAGATCGTTTATCAGCTGTGGTCGCGATGATTTTCGTACTATTTTCATACTATAATATCGATTGAATAAATTTCAAATAATTTTACTGCACCGTACAGCGCAAGATAATATCTTAGTTCGGATTGGTTTCCAAGGTAACCGTTCTTCATTACGTCATCATGACGTTGCCATGTACATTTTCGCCAGACATTATTAAATTACTGAATACTAGTACATGTACATGGAAACAAAACGTCGCCATCTATGCCTAGTGGTTGCTATCACGTGAGAAAACAGTCGTTTCACTTTCATTGACCGTGTCCGTTGCAAGTGACTACGATCCTTTTATATGCAAATACATGTAATAGACTACGGTGATAATGTAGTCGGTATAGTATCCACAACCACCCGGCCATGTTTTCGTCGATAGCTACCTCTCTCTGTATTCACTATATTGTGAAATAATATGATATACAGTGTTAAGTAATTTTCATATTTCGTCGATATATACCCGGGCGTAGATGACTCGGAAACGAACCTCGAGTGGTAAGTACGTTTATTCATTACTGACTCTAAATCATCCATCATGCAACGACACACTGTAACAAAATGAATGTTACATTCTATTTCCGGTTTGTTGGATTAACATTTTATGCGACTCCAGGAACGACTACTAGATTATAGTGTCGCATCATTTGTGTTATTATAATTAAAACACAAAAAACACGTTATTTTAAACATTCACACTGTTGTCTGATTTGACATACGGGCAAATATGTGTCGTGAAACGCAATTACTATCGCCGTTGCTATAGCAACACTTGTAAATAATAACACTGCGTTCTCGTACATTTGTATTCGTGCATATTTGATGAGAATGAAAGGTTTTACACCACCAATCGATATTATCTTTGACATTTCACGAATTGTGGAAGGTCATTTATCACAAGGAGCCGAAACAATCGACACCACCTAATTGTGTCATGTCTTGAAGCAGACAATGCACCTTTCAACAGTTATTTGTTACGAATATTACGTAATGTTATTCACGCTAAAAAAAAAGCCTGATACTAGTTGACAACGCTGGGACACACGAGGACGTGACTGCGACAACGTGTGAATATCACATGGTCGCCATGGCAACACTGGTGTGTATGGGACTTTCGAGTGTAATGGTGCATGGTGATTAGATACCGTAAAACGCGTTGAAATAGCTGCATTACTCGGGGGAAAATGTCATTATATCGTACATATTAGAGTCCGAAATTTTAAATTACGATGGTCTACATTATATAATAGTGACGTGCACGTTTTGTTTTCTAATTGGACCGTTCAATACGCCGAATAATAAAATAAAGAAATTAGAAATGTGATAAGAATAATCGGCCTCTTCCCGGTCACGTTTTCATATTTTTTTTTTGCCGACGTTGCCGCTATTCACAATAGTCAATATTTGTCGTTTTTACTCTATGGAGATCAGGAATACTATTCCGTTTTCCGACTAGTATTTTGCGAAAATAATTATTTTTATATGCATCACTTGATATATGGCAAGCTGTTCTAATGTTTTTTAGAGAAGGAGACGAATCGTCTTCAAATATCATAGTGGATATAGAGGGCGGCGTCTGTAGTGGTTTAGTATTCGAACAAAATGTAAATCGAACACCTGTGGTCGCTGTTACGGGGCACACGTCGTCGAATCAAAATTTTCATTTAGCAAATGTTGCATTTACAAATGTTCGTTCCCATTGCATCAATATCATTTCAAGAATAATACGAGTGAATTTAACTACAAGAAGTGGTGTTTACTTGCGCATTTTCTCACAGTCCAAAAACTTGACAGTTTATCCAAGAGCTACAAGAGCAAAGCCTCCAATTACCCTATACTAGTATATTGTAAAATGTTTGCTAGCTTGTTATTTTAGCTAATCCATAATTTTGCTAATTTAAGATGTCGATAATTTAAATTATATTCAAAGTCACAGTGAGATTGTTATCTAAATCAAATTCGCTAAATAGCATGTATAGATAACAAGTTGTGCATGGCAAATAATGATAAGGGGCGTAATATGATGGCGGCGCCTGGATAATCCGCACAATAGCACTGACATGACACGTAGATAAGACAATTTTTCAGTTGAGTGTGATAGGTATTTTTGATGGTTAAAAACCTTTCACTTAGGTAACCGGGATTCGGTCGTTTCCACGCTAGGCTAACAAAAGACACACACGAGCTTCGTTCATGTTCCCAAAACGATTCTCTCCCAAGTCCCTGGTTTTCACCCGAGACAGCATTAAATCCATCTTTATTTCTTGTCACCCCTTAACCAATTACAATCAGTATAAGAGACTCCAAGGCCTTGCCTTCCAACAAACAACCAATCACATGAAAGTTTTACACATCATAATCAATTAATTACTCGTCAAGCTGTCTAGAGAAAACATTTCTATATATTGTCAACGCTAACTAATATTGATGGGGTAATAATCTCGCACTAACATTCCACCAAGATACTACCTTAGTTTAAAATCGCAAACAACATTGGTTTAGAATTACAGCTACTGTCTTGTATCTTAAAAACTGCAGAGTCATAAGATGTTTTTGGTTGATTTCGACCAGCTCGCCATCTGGTCTTGTCATTAACCTTTATCAGTATATGTCATGGCAACCACTGTCAAACTGACTGAAATATAAATCATGATATGAGCATAAATTTCTGACTTTTATGTACGTGTTGACAATATGAGTCTTTGTAGTTAGCGCGTCTGTCCGTTCCACTGATATCTCAAGAAAAATATGTTGGTTTTTGGTGAAATGTGATGCATAAATGCTCTGGGCTAATGCGCAGATTTGATAAGGTTTTGGTCGAAATCCATGATAATTAGCTAATTTTTAGCTTTTTCATGACTGTTCCACTGATATCTAATGAACAACTCATTGGATTTTGATGAAACTTGGTACATATATAGATGATGTAACAGTGGAGTAATGCACAGATTTCCTCAGTTAATTACCTAATTTGCATAATGATTAGTCAATTTTCGGCTTTTACACTGACATCTCAAGTATTAATTATTATAAATTTTAATAATGTAGATCACATTGTTTTCACATCTCAAATAGCAGACACATATTAGTTGCCAAGCCTATTGTTTGAAATTCTGAATTATTGTTTATGTCTCAAATACTCTCAGTCTTTTTAGGCTTTCAATCACGCAATAATAGTTTGCAATTCAGAGTCATTTAAAATGTCATAATAATATACATTTATTTGAACAAATCAGCATATTTTAGTTTAGCAACGTATACAAGTCTAAGTAACAATCTGAACAATGAGCCATATTTCGAGTGCCGATTTAGAAATAAGTTATGGTCACGCTGACGTAACGTGTTTACGTCTTTAGTCTTGGTGCAAAGGGACTCACAAACCGACGTAAACCAAGTAATTGTTCCTGCAAATGCGCTGCAACTATTATCTTCAAATCAAATATAAACATTAGTCATATAACAACCTATAAATCTACCAAAATCCAGGTTATTAGTATTTCTTCCTAGTTATGTCATGCGCAGGTTATTTGTCGAAAATTAAAAAAACACGACTCAACATGGACGTATTAACACTGACAGTGTTAGTACGTCAATTGACTCAATAAAGTTGGTATAAACGCAGTATCGTTGTGGTTAAATGTTCACTCTACATTTCACATTGTGTTTCAGGGGATGAGGCGTGAGAGTTAAAAGGCTTTGCATCATGGGAAATTGCCATGCTCGGATTAATAAATTGTACAACTCACTGGGTAACGACGAAGATCCAGACAGTGACTGGAAAAAACAAACCGAGGCTGCCAAACACAACGAAGTCTACAAATTAGTTAATTTTACTAATGGTGGTAAATTAATTGAAGAGTATAACACACGTGGCAAAAATGGTTTCAAAGATTTTATTAAAAACTTGCTACCGTTATACGTGACAGGAGACGGAGATGGGATAATCACTGATAAAAAAGAGTTTGCACAATTTCTACATGACCCCACAGGAGAGAATAAACTGGTAAGTTCGGAGTAAAACAGATAACGTACATTTCTCGGTGTAAATAAACACTGTATAGTAGGGTAACGCACTCTTTTCCCTAAAATGATATCGTAGTTACGACGATGATAGTTTATATATGTTTGCACGTGGTACCAGTATACCATAGAGTTCAACATAGCAGTTAGTGTAGTTCAAGATTCCAGCCACACACACAATGTTCGTCACGAAAAATGTTTCATCGTAACTCATATTTCACAATATTAGTGTGGACGCGACTCGGGCAATGGTGGCATAATTGATACTATGTCACCTTCTTTTAGTCATTGTTTCTTTTAGGGCTTTATGTTTTCTTAAAATTCGTTACAGACTGAATAATGTCAAATTTGACACGTTAGTTGATAGATAGATATCTATCTGTTTGTCACATGAGGAAACTTTTTGCGTTAGTTTTCACCGAAAAATAGACAAAGTAGATGCACAACAATAAAATAACAATGGTGGCCACTGTATAGGTGGATAATCAGTGTCAGTGTTTACAGAATTCAGGAATTTTTGTGTAATGTTTACATAGTAACCCGTCTAATAATTTGGTGAAATGTAGCGTTTCTATTACATTCAGGTATAGTGACAGGACAACTAAAAAACAAGAGTGAATTGTAGTGGATCAAAAACAAACTCTATTTAATCTTACACAGATATTCATTATGAGAATTACAGATACAACTTGAAAAATATGTGACAAACAATATAGTCAATAGCATACATGAAAAGGATTTTAATACATTCCTTTACACTTCCATTGTTAAGTGGCAGGTCACCTGATTATAGTGATCCCACAACCGTGGTTAAGTTTTGATAATACTGTAAAAGGATTGATTATTCACTGGGTTTAGTTTATTTAGCTAACAGGAAAATGTGCTAAATTAAAATCCAGTGAATATGTAAAATTTAGCGTAGAACACATTATTTAATGATAAAACCCACTGAATATGCCTGAAATTGTAAATCAGCCAAATTTAAACCCAGTGAAAATTACTCATTTTACAGTATGTCTTAAAATTTGTTTTATTATTAGACGGAAAAGCAGTTGTTGGAATTGTTTGAAACTGAAGTTGATTCATACATTGAAAACGAATTTGACGATCGTGGCCACGAAACCTGTTGGTCATTGTTTAAAAGAGGCGGAGTTGGAGAAACTGCCTTACATCTTTGTTACTTAAATAATACCCATGTACATAAAGACATTGCCACGTGTATGTTAGAACTCTGCCCGAAATTGGTCCTGGATATATACGAAGGCAAGGAATATTATGGTATGTAGAAATCTTAACTTTGACCTAAAACGTTTTATCTGTGTATTGTGTTCAGAGACATAGAGGGCGCCCACGTGTGCTGGGAGCATATTCTATAAATACTCTTGGAATAGCTAGTAATTTACAAACTTACGCTCAACTGTTTCCCTGTGGATTTTCAAAACTTTCTTGTAAAAATAGGTTGTATTTCCATTTATAGGAATCTCAACTGTAATGGTGGAAGTATAGTGAACACATGATTTAGCGAACAACAAATTACAAAATTAAACAAAGTAAAATTATATATATATACTAAATGTCAAAATTATGAGTGAACTTATTTTTAATATTGTATGTTTCTTGGAGTTCTTTTTCAGTAGAAAACGTAAGGGTAATTGTAGTTTTTGGCAATGATAAAAGTACTAATAAGTGACGATACATATTGGTAATAATTTATCGAATGTCATGTATACGTGACACTCAGTCCCCACCCACATCAGCATCACCGCCTACTCACAATAATACAAAACATTCATAATTGTATTCAGGTGAAAGTTGTCTACATATTGCAATAGTTAACAACGACCTACAAGCTGTTAAACAGTTAGTAGGGAAGTACAACGCCAGACTAGACCAGAAAGCTTCTGGAAGATTCTTCCTTCCTGAGGATCAACAGAAAGAAATCCGCGACTCATCGGATGACTACTTTGGTTATGCGTATTACGGAGAATACCCATTAAGCTTTGCGGCATGTATGGGAAATGAAGATATATACGATTACTTAATTGAGATGAGTTTAAAACGTCCACATCTAGGACAAGTTGATCCAAATGCCCAGGATAGATTTGGGAACACTATATTACATATGTTGGTTATCCATGATAAACCAGTAAGTTATTATTCCATGTATATTGCTAATATTTGGACGCTATAAAAACAACGTAAGACATTGGATCAACCTCCAGACACATGGGACAAACAATTGATGGTTATTGAAAATAGAACGTCTTCAATATGAAATATAAGTTTGTACTACAATGTTGTCTAGCTTCCTGTTTGCACATGCGATATCTTCTATACCCAGTGAGGTTGCATAGGTTTTTTCTTCGTTCGCATCCTTTGTTCAGTGCTTGTAATATAAGCTAACCCATTACGTAATATACGTGTCATGCACTGAATTTACCTCTTGTTAGGAATAAATTTATAAAAAAAATGTTTATATGTTTTCAGACAATGTATGCACATGTATTAAAACATGACGTCATGCCAGCCGATCCGGAGAAAAGGAACAAAGGCGAGCTTACGCCATTAGCTTTGGCCTGCAAACTTGGGCGGAATAAGATGTTTAATTTTTTAATGGAAATCGGAAGCACTGTGTTCTGGTCCTATGGTAACGTACAATGCAATGCGTATTCATTACAAGCGGTAGATTCTATTGGACGAAATGGAAATACGGGTAAGTGCAATTATGTTCATTATCACATGACGAAATATATCAAAACTCCTATGTAATGTAACATTACATTATCACGTGACAAAAGAATGCGTTTAGCGTACGTGAGGCATTTACGTATACTAAATACTAGCGCACTAGTCGGATTGAAAGCTGGTGTCCAACGCCAGTGTTGACAGAGGCGCGTGCGATAACTGCGACCGGAACCTCAAGGTACATTCACCTGTCCCTTATTTCATTTCATTTCGGACACTGTAAGAAGATGCATGTGATATGTAATCCGGATCGGTTTAATGGTAATCAATCTGGTAGCATGATGTCGATAAAATCATGCAATAATTGTTTGTAGATTGTGGACTAGAAATATGATTTTTCAAAAATCGTTCCTGTTAAGTTTGTTCGACTGGTAAATATTATTTATTTTTCTTTTAGATTGGTATTCTGCCTTAATGTTGATAGTTGATGGAAACAGTGATAACCACCTAACAATGCTATCTACCGGTGTCATTTATAAACTTCTTGAAGCCAAATGGAAGACTTTTGCAAGAGTGAGTTAATTAATAAATAATTTGGGGTTTTGGGGTTTTGGATCATATGACACTCAAACAAAAAGAAATGCAAGAACTTTGAATGAGATCATTAACAATTATTCTAGTTTTTATAAATTGTTTTCATTGGAATCCTTAAACATTTTGAAAACTATCAGTGATCGGCGCATGTAAAACACTTTTCTCAAAATACACATAATAATCATAGATTGACACGTTTGATGTGGCGTATGTATAATCAATGCGATTATTTTTTTATTATTTCAGCGCTATTTGTTTATCCATTTAATAGTAGCCTTGATTCACCTGTTGCTGTTATCTATATGTGTATATACCAGACCTGCTGGTAATTTAGTTGGAGACACCGATCCCACAAGTATAGTAAGTAGTAGGTCTTGATAACATACTCAAGACATATAGAATTATGCGCCTTGTAACGTCCTCGTTTATGATAACGATACCGATAATAATTAAATACATATTTTTTTACCTTGTTACGCATATTATATTTTAACTTTTTCACCACCTCTTCATTACAAATTCACAAAATAGTCCTGTTTATAGCCTGCATTTTCCTTCGGGAGATTTAGACAAATATAGCAACTAAAAACTGTTTGTCTCTTGGCTCCAAAATAAGGCTTCGTTTCCAGAAACATTGAAGAATAAAAAACAAAAGGTGCAGACAAATTTGGGTGATAAAGTCTGGTGCTGAAAAGGTTGAGAAATTGCATTTTATTGCAAACAATGCGACCACAATAGAGAGTCGCGTCACTTAAAAGATAATTGAAAAAAATGACATCTCTGTAATTACAGTAACAGTGATTATACTTTATTTCAGTTACGATATTGCTGTGAGATTCTTGTTTGTTTTATTGCCATATCAAATTTTATATTCGAAATCAAAGAAATCAAAGTTATCGGTGTCCGCAGATTTCTCTCAAATTTGGTGAGTAAGAGTATTTGTGCAAAGCAAAATTTCTATTGTCTGTGCTCGGAGAAATTACGTTAATCCCAAAGCAATGTCAAAGTTAAGTAAGATGATGTTTTTTTGACATATACGTATAATTTAGCCATATAGCATTGTCACCATTTCATATCAAATTTATTTTACTATTAGTCAACGCAAGATGTACACGTTTCTGTTTTCTGTAAATATTTGGAAAAACTCTCAAGTTCTATGTTTAGATTCCGTATACCACAAAGATAACTATATCTTAGATACATTGATAGAAACACTATAGGAAAACATGCGCTAAACCAGACAATCCATTTGTAAAAAGAAAACACGCCCGCTTCTCCAACTTGAGTACAGTAACCCATATTAAGTATATATTTTCGTCAACATGGAATGTCTTTCTTTTATAAACTTACTATACAAAAAAAGTCGCACATATATATAATAGCCATTGATAATATTTTCCCATTTTATCCAGTGATGTTTAGCAATTTATGGCTATCATGATTTTCCAAAGGAAAAAATGATCTTTTTAGTTGGAAACCTGTCAACTAGGTGTCATTTTAGCAGATTTGGTGTTGTAATGATATGTTTTATACTTCAATGTTGGTGTACCACATTTCCTCTTGTGTGCTGCCAGACGTGTTCCATAAATACAAATGTTTGTTATTTGTTCCTATTAATTTGGCATAAAATGCAATAACAGTTTGTACTTCTTTTTCTATGAATTCTCAAATGTGTTATGTCTTTTATAGTCTGGTGTGCCGGCTAAAACTACCCATTTATTATCCTGTATACTCATCCTTTGCTGCATACCGCTGCGAATTGCTGGAGCTCGTTACGCCGAAGATATATTGTTTATCACCGCTGTAGCTACAGCATGGCCACATTTGTTATTTTTCTTCAGGTAAAGTCCCAAAATTTTAGTTTCTTACATGTATTTGTAACAAAATATGGCAATTTTAGTGGATCAACTGTTACAACAACTCATATTTGTGCCTATATCTATGTATGTATCCCAACATGGCGACATGTTCCACTGGTAATTTATTCTGTCTTTTCTTCTTTTCTCTCAGGGGTTTGAGATCGACAAACTTGGGGCCGTTTATCACTATGATTTATAAAATGATTACAAATGATTTACTGAGATTTGGAATTATTTACTGCATCTTTCTACTCACGTTTTCTCCGTGTAAGTATTGTTATTAGTCTTTACCTGTTAATGCATATATGCATTATATATTATTTTGTTATTTCCTCTTCAGCGTTGTTCTGTCGTCATAATGGCAACCAACTTAAATGAACAATGGTCGACCCAACCCTTTTCTAGTCAGCCAACATGCGGAAAGGGGATAGCCTTTTCAGACATTTTTACCAGAAATGTAAATCACTTCTCAGATTATGGTTCTTTGTTGACGTTATGAGTAATGAATTATATGAGCCACTTTTCTGCTAAAAGCTATTTTTATTGCTTGTTTCAAATGATGTTTGAACTTTATATTTATCATTTTACTAATGAATGCTGAAATTTTATACTTAGTTCTAGACAAGTTAGCCCCCCAAAAGAGACCTTATCTGGCGGCACGTTTTTGCAAAACCTTTCAATTGAATATATTATATCATTATCCAGATATATTGAAAAAAGAAATAGGTATTCTATTTTTGCATGATATTTATTTCCAGCACTGTATTACCTGTATAAAGATGTTGATGCAGACACTTCCGAATCGAACGTAAGAGCATTTGACACTCCATATGGTACCGTAATGTCGTTATTCCATATGTCATTTGGAGAATACCCGGTAAGTTGATTGTAACATACTTCTGATGACAATAATAGTAAATATAAAATACTTAATTTCAGCTGAAAAGACATTTTGGCTGTTTTGTATGAAATTTAGATCTAAAATATAGAAAAAATTGTATTTTCACTATATTTTATTTTTCACTGATTCATTATCTCTTCAACAAAAATAAAGAGTGAAAAGCACTTTACATTAATAACTTTAGCTATGTTGATCAGTATGCAATGCTGTGTTTTTACCTTTCCATTGAAGGCACTACTACAATTTTATATATTTAAAAATGTAATGTAGTACATTTACAGTCAGAATATTTTTTTTTCAAATATCCGTTTGAAGCCGGACTTGCATATAGCACTTATTAACTATTTGGGACACTGTTTAACTTTATTTTGTTTTTATGTGTGATTAATTACTATTGTAGGTAGTCGGTATATGTGTACATTTCACACACTCCGATTCTATTAGAACAATTACTTTTTATACATTATTATACATACCTTGTAAATTTAGAGAACCCGACAAATTAACATGTCAGCTAAATACCATCAAATTAAAGTACAAATATTATGTATTTTATAGAAAGACGAAATATCACAATCTCGGATCCCAGTACTGAGTGTGATTATATTTGTCATCTACTGTGTGTTGACGCCTACTCTACTGCTAAGTATGTTAATTGCTATGATGTCCAATACGTTCCAATCAATTAAAGAAAATTCGAAACGAGAATGGTTGAAACAAGTAAGTATACTGAGTTTATATTTCTATTATGCTCATTCTCACCAATGATTAGACCAAGACTATTTGTATCAACCAGAATGATGCGAATCCGGGAGTAAAATGTGATATACGCCAGGAATAATAATTAATAATCAATCCTGTCATAAATATATTTTTTTTCAAAATCCTTCTCATTAACATAATTATAGAAGTAATATAAATGACGCGATTATTTCGATGCCTAAGAAGTGGCTGTCCATAATAAAAGGCATATCTGTTCGTCAGAATAAATTAAATTAACAATAGTATATCTGTACATTTTTTCTATATAGTGGGCAATGATCATCTTAGTTTTGGAGCGTTCTCTAAGCAAAGCAAATTTAATAAGTTTACAGAAAAAATATGCCAATGCGATAGCAAAAAAGAAGTATGTTTCCAGAAAATTTGGTACTGCTTCTAAGGATAACACAGTTCCGTAAGTATAGTTATTCTTGTTTGGGGAAATCGTTTCTCGTGTTTTATTTTTGTTTTTAATATTTTTATAATGCAATAGATAAATTAAATTATCTAGTCATTAGTGTAGAACTCATGATGTTTTTAATTGCATGTTTAGTAACTATAGTAATATACAGGTATATTATGGTTGTCAGTTGCATTCAATTGTTCTACATTTCAATTCAATCTTAGAGCCTATTGGTTCATAAAAAAATTAGGCTCGTCTTGTGATTTTTTGTGGTGTATAATGTTACTTGTTGTGTGTCCACTAAATTGAATGTCGATTTAATTAATTATTTACGTACGCCACGCTAAATTATTCAGGTATTACAACGTTCTGTGGTCTTGTTTTCCAGAGTCAATGAAAATGGTTGTAAGAAGCAACTGCAAGAGGAGACGTGTTTGGGACTTATTCTTGTGAAAAATAGAACTACAACTAGAGCAGAGGCAAGGAGGCAAGCCAAAGCTAACTGGAAGGTAATGTGTTCCCAATTTTGCTTACATAGTTATTATAATGTAGTTTTAATTATGCTGGATGAACCCCGGATAGATGAAGATGTCAAGTCACTGGTCAGGTTTCTATAAATCCTAACATTGTCATATAACTTTTGTTATCACCGTTGGTGGCGTGCTTAAAGCATCCCCAATCAAGAGGAATCAGTACACACTGATTAAGCGCGCTCAGACTGTTTTCCGTATGTTTAAACATGCCTTTGTATTGGCAAACATTTGAAACATAGTTTTTAGAAAGGTATATTTATAGTTATGATACATTGAGTGAACATGCATATAACGACTTTTCATTTTCGAAATCCTAGACAATGGATGATTGTGACGAAACATTTTTTTTTAGAATGAAAATGGACCACATCCTTTTCTTTTATTTCATATGTTGCTCCATGCTAATGCATATTAGATAATAACAAACGTATTCACGTGTAAAAGGCCCATGCCATGAGCAGGCTGAACCAGTCGTGCGCATCCAAGTTTAAATTAATGATGTAAACGCGTTGTTGTTCTTATTAAATATACAAATATGTCTCCAGTAATAAAACAAGTTGTCATGCTTATGGCAATGTTCTCACTCTGTCTGGTTGTCTCCGTCAATAAAAAAATACTTTTTGTTTTTTAAACAAAGATTTACTATACTTAGCATTGCTTACACTCCTATATGTAATTTTGACGTCAGAGAAACTTTTCATCACTAGAGGGCGCGACTAATTAGAAAGTGAACTTTTAGGTTTATTTGTCCATCTTTGAAGCATATTACTGACATTGATAATGACACATACTATATATTATTTTATGTTTTATGTTATAAATGTGAACATAACTTCGTTAATACTAATGTGTTTTTATTATAGTTTGTTGGTAGGAATACAAGAAAACAATTAATACAACAGAAACAGAGTGGTCCTAAGAGCACGGATAGCAGTGCAACAACGTCTTCGAGTATATATGATGTTTTTACCACAATGAAAACCAAGAACATGTTTCCAACAGAGACATGAAATAACCAAATCTTGCCTCGTAAATGTTCAAAAATTATCATACCGACATTTGAAGTCTGAAAACATGGAGTTTTACGATTTTGTGTTAACGAATGTTGTTCTAGAGCCAGATCTTGCCTTGACTGATCACCTATCACACATAAAACGTTTTACACATTTATGCAAATGCATTTGTATCACGGCTCTAATCAAGCCCGTTAAAATGGCCGTAACGAAGGACATATTTAGTAAAATATGTCTACTATTCTGAAAATCGGATCTCTGTCAATCATGGTCAGATGTAATTCAATCTAAGTACAGACATCCACATCATGTGTGCTTGGACGTTATTATTCTGTTTTAATAACCGGGTTCAATCCTGTTTGACGACAAAGCTTCACAAATACAGGACAATGAAATTTACAATTTTTTTTAAATATCACTTTTCATTCTCTGAATGTTCGATTTTTCAACTGTATATGCAGTCTACCATCGTGACACTTCAGCAGAGGATTATAAGTCATCATTTCCAACTACAATTGGGAAAATTAATTCATATATAACTTCTAAAGTAAGGATTTAAAATTGGTAAAGGTGAAAGAATATGGTAGTATACTGGTTTCAATAATGGTTGCCATGATTGCAATAAAACTGAAAATATTCTTTTTTTTACATTTTCTACCAACTATGTAATTTTCGTAATGGCTGCGTTGTCATGTTTTACCCATAATTCTTAGTTGGAAAAACAAAATAATGGACAACGTATTCTAATTCAGTAAATGAATCTGTATAGAACGAAAAGTGATTTATTTGAATAACTGTAAATTGCATTCCCTTGCAATTGTGGAGCTCTTTCACCTGGGAGTATCATGCCGTTAGCCTTTAACGAATACTGTTTCTAAGACGTATCTCTGTCATGCCTTGTCTGATTGCAATCAAACTTTATATATTCATTTAAGTTACCGTCCAACTTCAATTTATACAATTATTGTGTAAATTTATACTAATTCGATTTAATTCAATTTTTAATGGATTCCGAAATTGCTACATATTTGTATGGCTAAAGAGTACATGTACATATAAAGTTGCAGTAGTGTTTTATTGATTAAAAAAATACAAAATACGTGTTTTACTGAGTTTTATTTTTCTCTGTCTGAACACTGAACCTTCACTTGCGTCTAAAATGGCGGTGCTCTCTCAGCCATGCGTTAATTAAATTGAGATATGGAGACAATTTGTTGAAACATATTGTACCTTAATAGTTCAAGGTTATCACACTGTATTTGTATGAGTACACACATCGTGAAAAAGTGTTTATATCAACCTAATTAGTCCGTTTTAGAGGGGATATTCAGTGACCGTTTTTAATGAAGTTAACATTGCGACAATACCAGATATTGCAAAATGTGACCAAACCATCTATAATTACAATATTTAGACACATTTTATTGGATGTTACATAGATTGACAGTTTTTTTATACTCAAAATGGATGAATTCACAGAAATTAAATATTCATTTAACAATGGAGCCCCTCTTTTTATGTTCCATGATTTCACTCGATTTTAGTAAGTGATTTTCCTGTCCATACTTTAAATGTTACTGTTAAGATTCACTGTCATAATTTCGGAAATTGTGTAACCATCAGAATGAGTCAATGATTATACTTCAAGTACCAGTTTTGTACCATGGTTCTTATTTACATTGGATACTGAAACACGCAATGCTAGTGGTAGATACTACTTGTAGTAGTACATCGTACAGGATTGCTAAAACAGCGCCCTCTATAAAACATTCATTTGGCCATTGTTATTGCAAAATTAACACCTTATCACAGTTTACCGTCGCAAATAATAAAGTAATTAACTTTATTCTTGGTATAATTTCAAGTACAAGAGAGATTTCGCAATTTTGATGTGAAGCCAAGTTGGTTAGATAATTTCAGAATCCAGGGATACTACAGTAAGAAATGGGCCATTACAAACACATGTCATTGGACATCACCCTACCATGCACAGATTATACAATCCAAAACAAGTTACTTTCAATAACTTGATCCCTGCATTGCTATATCTCAATTCATAGCACAAGAACATAAGACCAAGAAGAAAAAAATATTCATTTGAGAGAAATATTTAAAAAAAAATGATTTTAATCATATTTCAAGACATTCATATGGTTGATACTTTACAAAATACCACACAATAAAGACACCAATACCCTACTGTGTTGGATTCAAATTTTATTGCATACCATACTGGAATGGACAAAGGTGTGCATGGTCTGTATTACAAACTTTACAAAACCGCTTCCCATACATATAAAATCAGTAAAATACACACTTTTCTCTAAAGTACATAAATTGTGGACGGTGTTCAAATATGCATAGATTTGACAACATTGTAGAAAGGACGGTATCTGATAGTACGTACAAGTAGTATGATGTAACTATGTTACACCCCAAAACCAATTTTACTTCATATACTAAAATGCAATATTCAATAGATGCACATTTCACTATTTAATTTGTTTACTAATAATACAATATGGTACACATTAGGAAGCAAGATATCAACAGAATGACCTATGACCTTTTTGTTTGTACATGATTTCAAACTTCAACAAATACCAATATTTCTTTTAAATGTGTCAACACATCATAATGGCATTCATATACAGGTCAAACTTTGAGTCATTTTCTAGAAATAAACAGCACTATTTCATATTCCTGATAATCACAATACTTTATTGGCTCAATGTACTAAAATATTGACATCCTGTAGCAACCCCCCTCCCCCTCACTGCTTCTAAATACTGTCATTTTAAGTAGTATAGAAGCCACCATCATGTTTACGTGAATATCCTGGATTGGTGGCCGCACTATGATGACTGTCAATGGCACCCTTGAAGCAGTCAATGGTTTCTCTCTTTGGATCGACAACAACTTGGTTGGTGTACCCAGATGGATCTGCTGGGTCAAATGATTTTCTTTCATCTTTACTTCTATTTTTCAAAACTCGTCTGTAAAAAGAAAACAATAATTGAGGAGGTGCTTTCTTGTCTTAACAAAAAACAGTGCTGCTCTATTACAAGCACATTTTCAACAGAAGTGCACTCAAACTAAAAATTGCATTTAGCATGCTTTGCGTAGACACATGCATTACCGTACTGATATTGCAAATACGGTATATGCATCCAATACAACATCAAGTAATTCATGATTAGTGTAAGATATAACAGAAATCTACACCTACCCATGAGATTCTCCAACTGTTTCAGGTTGGATTAGTGTCTCTGGTTTTGTAGCTAAAAATGAATCGTGGTGGTCATACTTGGTTTTCAACACAAAGTCAAGACTATCTTTAGGTGCCTGCAATGATTTGAGAAAGCAGTAGGTATTACTTTAAAATTTGTGTTAGAGCTAGGGTTTCTATTAAAATGGTACACTGCAACAGAGGGGATGCAGTTTCTATGAGAGCATCTAGAAAAATGGTGAATTTTTGGTTCACAATTGTTCAAAAAGAATGGGTGCGACTTATATTAGGGATGCGGTTTCTAATGCAGATTTTATATAACGTATACATTGTATAAGTATATAACGGAATCTTTTTATTACAAAAACATGAAGAGTCAAGACATGATCAAGTCCACTTAAAAGACAATGTCACTAATTGACTTTCAATATAGAGAATGGAACAATTACCACTGATTATTAATCACATAAATTCTATTCAAGATTTTCACAGACTATTATATAAAATAACCAGCTAGTTACATTACCAAATTTTCCCTAGATTTTACTTTGAAAGGTTCAATCAAAGACATTAGAAAACGATCTTGTTGTTTACCTTGGGATCATAATGGTACACTTCTCTTCTTGAGCTAGATAATGTACATTTTGAGTTCAGTCTATTCCATGGATCTTCTCTTTGTGCAATGTGGGTAGGTTGGTCATTACCGACCTGCTGTAGGAGCAATAGATACAAACGTTTAATTGTGTTACATATATAATTACATTGACTCAGTATGAGAACATAAGTTCCTGTGCTCAACGATAGACAACATGTACTGCAAACCATTTTTACAAATTGATGATTACTTTTAGAGAAATTGTGCAAGAATCAATTTTATTTGTTGCCTTAAAGATCCAAATAAAATGTTCACTTCTATATTTCCTTGGTAACCTAGTGTTGATACATGCTTAGTTTAACTACATACAGCATTTCACATTATGCATGAATTGGTCAAATATGGTGTAAACATAAAACAATGCATATTGGTACAGATAAAATTCATCAAATCATTTTCCTGCCCAAGATGACAAAATAACCAGTTTCAGTTGTGAAAAATATTTAATATTATAATATAATTCACGTTTGATGAATGACTTGTTATTTCTACACAAAACAGATTTATGAATATAACTTATACATGCTCTGGTTGGAAACATTTTTGCACGTTCCAGAAGTCAAATCAAATCGCCTAGGATATACTATACGACTTTCAAAACATTCAAATTGGCGAACAATAATTACCTTTGTTAAGATCTAGAGAAAAAAACGTGTTCTTGTGTATAACTACACGGTAATTGGTGACAATTATTTTCTCCCTTTCGTACAAGAAAGATTTTTCTATTTTGTTATTGCTTTCCCTGTAAATTATAAATAACTGATTGACCCCAATGCCCACCCTCTGTCGAACCTTGGTCCTACATGGGGTTTGTAGGCTGAACAAAACAAAGCCACAAATCCAACACCGGTGAGAATTAGTCGTTGTGGTACAAATTGCCAAATAAAACAAGTTCGAAGAAAACATGTTTTATAAAAAAAAAATCCAAGATATGCACGTTTTTGACACCTGCGTTCGATTCTCAAGTCAAGAGACAGTCGATGATTTCTTAAGAACTTACCTGTGTGTTACGAGGGCCTACGAAATTTTCATCGCTTTGAAGTTTTGGAAAAGGATATGGATCCCGTGTTGACTGTACCATATACGACATGATGGAAAAATTGTAATGGTTTGGACAGACGACACTAGCAAGACAACACAACTAAGCCTTCTTCCGTTGAAACTAAACAGAACAAGTGAGATTCTAATCAAGAGTTTGTTGTTGTGGATACCAAAACGCAAAGGATCATGGGAACACCATTGGACTTCCGCATTTTAAATCTCAGTAGAATAATTTATGATGCAAGAAATCTCAAAGATCTGTGTCTCAATAAAATTCTAATTTATAAAATAAATTATCTATTGCAAAACAACTGCATGTTCTCAATATTTGAAAAAAAATCATCGAAGACGAAAAAAGGTCATTTGGCACGAGGGCGCTATATTGGGTCAAAGGTGTTTTTCACTGTTCTCGTCAGATTCAACCTGCGCTGCTGGGGAGTGGTGTTGACTATAATATCTCGGATTTTATCGTTGTTGTTTTTTCTAAAAAATATCGTCTAGCAAGAAAGTGGTTTTTTTCGCACTCATTCATTGAATGAATTTGTACTAGTAATTTCCAGTCGCGTATTAACTACCGGTACAATGAAATTGTGGCTAATACGGCTGGCTGTATTCATCGCGTGTGTGTTTGACCTTGCTGCCTCAGCCAACAAGCAACCAACATGCCAACCAGTGAGTATTTAAAGTTATTTACTGAAAAATATAATATATTTATCATAATCAATACTTGGTATATGCCTTGACCATATGCGATCTACTGTTCTCGGTAACAACCCCACCATCTGGTTGGTAGACTTGGGGGTAGACGCTTCGTACGTAGACAATGAAACAATATAGTAGATGATTTATGGTGAATCACACGTTTTAAAACATAAACAAACTTATTCAGAACTAGGATTTGTAAAAACCAAACAAAAAACAACAAATATTTTTTTTTCGATTGTTTTATTTATGATAGAAATTATAATTAGAACCTTCCCGAATGAGTACTGTGCGTGATGTTTATCTTAATGATAATGTGTTGGTGTGTGGTGGTAAAAATGAATGAACTTCATATGAAAATAATTGTCATCATGAACTAAAATGTAGAATTTCTTGTGACATTCAAAATTCGGCTTTTAAAGAATTATTGTAGATGACTGCAAACAATTTATCTTTCAAGATTACTATAATTAATTAAATTATGTGCATATCATATGTTTCAATAAGAATTTTAAAATGTACAGATTACCATATTAATGAACATATGCTTTATAATTTAAATAGTTTTGTGTATTTATTGTGAAAGGTATTGTCTCAGTAGAAAGAAATGGCAAGTGATCGAGAGCTGGTAACATCCAATAAATAACCAGAGCACATTTATTTTGATATGTATCCCAGTCAACTGGTGATTTAATATTAATTATGTAAATACATTTGAGTTCTTAGTTTATGTGTTCCTATAGGTAAATTTGATGAGAGTTGCACATGTTTGGCATCTGTTTGCAATATCCGTGAGCACCTGTCTCGGACATTAAACATGTATACCATAACATTTAAAAATGGTGTTAGGTATACAATCTGAATGAGACTCTTAAGATCAGTCGTATATTTTCAAATTAATTTGAATACTGCATCAGTCATGTGCATTATGAGCAACAAACATACTTCACCTTCCATACACTCAGATAGCACACCGTCACATCGACCTATGCTGCGCATCGGTCGATACTCTCACTGTACTGTCTATGTGCATACTTTGAGGTATTCTCCTAATAACTCATATTATTATAGACCTGTCACCGGAATGCCATAGGTTGCAGGGTGCCGCAATTTTGCGGTATTTTATGGGGT